TTTGCTTCAGAGAGAATAACACAGATTGGTGTCATCGTTCAGCCTGATCATAGAGTCCTCCGTTGAGGTCATCTCATTGCTGCACTGTGAGTGTGTTGAAGAGCGATAGTACTGTGTGTGTGTGTGTGAGTTGAACGGAGAGAGGGTGGGTTGAAAGTACAGAGTGAGAGGAGAGAGAGATTTGGCGAGCAGCTGAGATAGATGTTCATGCACATGTCAGGTTAGATATCCATCTGAGGTGAACTTACAAGATGAATATTGTTTGCGCAAATGTGTGTGTGTGTGTGTGTGTGTGTTTGTAATTATATGTGTCTCTCTCTGGGTGAGAAGCCATAACAGGATGCTTTGGTGATAGAGAGCAATAGATGGACTGAGGGCAGAAAATGCAGTGGTAATTGTACTGCATACACAGGTAACTGGAAGCTAAATTGGCATCAGAATTACAACCTGTGAGCACTCAGTGTGTATTGAAACCAGATAACCCACTGTGTGCGTGTGTGTGTGTGTGTGTGTGTGTGTGTGTGTGTGTGCATGTGTGCGTGTGTGCGTGTGTGTGTGTGTGTGGGCACAATCCTTTTGAGAGAGAGAAGGGGAAATATATAGACTTGAGTGACTAATAAGATGTGGACAAGTTCCAAAATGAAGCCAGTAACATCATATATAAAATGAATGCTTGAGGAAATGATTCCAAGACGCTATCAGTTTCGTTTCAAAACATTTTGTTTTATTAAAATTGGACATTTATTGAGATTTATTTTACTATCAACTGCTTGTGTTGCATGCTATCATAAGATTAGGCACATGTGACAGGATTACCTAAAATATCAATGCCCCATTTATCATCACTGGAGTTAACACAGCCAGTTTATCAGTAAATCTTGGTTCTATATTTTCACCTGGGGGTAAAATATGGACAACTTATTACCTCAAATATATTCCTTTATGAATTTCCAAGCTTCTTTTGAATTTATGATTCGGGTCAACCCTGGATAATATTTTTCCCTGCATCTAAATGTGTTAAAATGCTGCTTACATTCATTCACATAACATTACTAGTATACCCATGACCTGCCGTCACTGGAACAGGACAGAGAAAGGAGGAAAGTAAATGAGACAGCTGTATTAGAAATGTGAGCTCATGGAGGAATAGTGCTGGGAATCTGAAACAAATCAGAGACTGTTTGAAGAAAGTAAAAGCAAAGGTTAGAGGTGACAAGGTGCAACATTGTATTTAGAGCATGTTAGTATATTCACTTTCTAAAATACTTTGCTCGAACGCAAGGGCACCACACAAAATGAGATAGAAGGCTGTTTAAAAATAACGAACATGGCTAAAAATAAAAGTAACTCAAAATCCCTATAGTTGTGTCTGTGCAAAATGAGGATGGTATCATAGCAACTGGCAGCTGTCCAAAGTTTAGGAGCAGTCTTCGTGCTGTCTCCAAACACATTGCTGTTTGCCTGGTGTGGAGATGGGTGACTGAGTCGGGGGGACAAGGAGGTCAAGATCATAAAGTGCAAAGACCATTGTGCGGGCAGAGAGGGTGGAACTGGTCAACCAGTTGTGCGGTTACTGAATTTTTAGCACCTTGTAGCAGGGGAAAAGCATCTCAGAGGAAATTCAGAGTTTGACAAGAGTTGGTGCAGGGATTTCATTCTGTGCAGTCAAGTATGGTGAAACTCCTAGCAGCAAGATGGCTGACATATAGAAAGCATTGAAAGGCCTTGCTGGTGCCACTACGCCATGTTCATTTACATTTGTGACAGAAATACGGATGAGGGACAACACCAACCTGAAGTTAAAGTTCTGGGTCACCCCAAGCCGCTGGAATAGCTTCAATGTTCCCTACAAACTGTACCACAATGCAAAGCACAAGAACAGTCACAAAAACATGTCTTTTTTTATGTAATCTTTATTAAATATTATTATATCTTTATCAGGCAGTCTAAACAACTGGTCATGATAGAAATGTCTAACAGCAACACCTCTGCATCAATGGGGGACAAAGAGGAATGTAACTGCTCTGTCCCTGTTGTTAAAATATTAACAATGTTAGATTTAAGTTATGTCATGTTGTTTTCTTATTGACAGCTTGCTACGTTTAATGTTGCTGTCTTTGTGATATCAAACATTATCTTAGCAGGTTTAATAAGTAATATGGCTTTGTTATGGGTAGAAGGACAAATGCAGCTATAGCTATAACTTGAGTGGCTTGTTCTCCTTACACAAGATTAAATTAGAAAAAACATGTATAAGTGGTACTTACATTTATATTCCTTCTATTGTATACTTTGCTTTACAAAAGAATCGATTTAACAGTTTCATGCTGCATACTACTATTGAAGCAGTATGCAGTATGTAGTACATACTGTGGCAACCGGCAGTAAGTAGGCAGTTCTGAATACAACCAGCATTTCTCCAAGTCTCTGGAAATTTACTGGAGGGATGAACACCATTCTTTCAAAAGATATTCCCTCATTCAGTGTTTTGATGATAGTGGTAGAAAACATTGTCACTCCAAAATCTCCATTGCTTTTATTGCTGTCAGCTCCTCCCTGTTAGGATTCCTTCAGTCTACATCATTCAGGAGGTTTTTACCAGAATCTGCAGAAACAAAACAAACAGACGAGGTGATTGAAACCGGTATAAACACTAAGTAAAGCAGTTTCACGTTAAAAACATCGGATGCTGCACTCCCTAGCTGCCGCTAACGTATGCTCATCTTCCGATGACTAAAATCCTTCATCTGGTTAAAATACATATTTGAAAATGTCCAAGATCTTATTGCAGTGTATTCCAAAAATGTGGCTTTAAACTGGATAAAGAGTCAATTTATGACAGCTTCTGTCAGAAAACTACAATGCTGACGCATGTGCAAAGGGGCTATGAAGCCATTTACTGGCGACCAAATGAAACGTACCTTTACCTTGATTAAAATGACAGATTTCTCTGAGTTTGAAAATTGTTGGAAACATTTGGGATAACAACTCAACCAACTATATGACATAGGTCTAGAGATCCCGCAATAAACATAGAAACACCAACATGCTGGCTTTACGTTTTCATACAGACATGTTCCGGTTCTGTTACTAAACATGTTCCCGGCTCAGAGGCAGATCAAATCTGACACCACTTTCTGGCTCCATACCTTTCATACAGCGCAGCAAGCCGGCATATTGGCACAATACTCCCAGAAAATAAAGCAGTGTGAAAGCGGCTATAGACAGTCACCAGGAAACAGCTTCACACAACGTGCTGGAAACTCATGTAAACATCCTCTGCAACTTTATAGTAATAATTTTATCTGTTTGATTTTGTACCAGTCCATGCTGGTTGCATAATAACGTTACATTGACTGCATTTAGCCAACATGATACATCAGCATTAGCTTGCCCGTCGCTTTTCAATGACTATTTGTCTATCTTTCACCAGAAAGGCTCAAGAATGGGAGCACAGCTAAACGTACTGGGTGATGACGAAACAGTTAGTGAGCTAGACTGAATATTATAAATGAGATTGTGGTGTTTTCCTGCGGCGTTATGTTGCATTATTGTATATTATGTGGGTCACATAACAGCGACTGAGATGTTGGAGAAGCTTAATACCTGAGTATTGGTAAAACAACTTAATACCTGAGTATTGGTAAAACAACAGTAAAACTAAACTGAACATTAAGAAGCAAACAGCAGCAGATCCATGCTAACGTTAGCTTGCTGCCTGAGAAGGGTCCGACTGTGGACTGTAGCTCAGGGGGCATGGTTTCAGTGTAGGTCAAAGTTCATTAGACAATAATGCGGGATTTGAAGAAGAAGAAGATGATGACATATGGCCATGTCTGAAATCACCCACTATATAGTGGACAATATAGTGAGCTTGCCATTTTGTAGTGCTGCCGAATGTATAGTGAGAATTATTATACCCTATATAGTCCATTTTGAAAAGTTGTGTACAACCGATGGTCACTAACCAAGCCCTATATACCATCATGCACTGCGCTGATGGGACCTGGTGATTGACAAGTCCATATTATACATTCATAAGGCATCTGCATTCCTTAAGTTTATTTATTGAGGCTTTTCTTATTAATTTTAATTGGCTATTGTTTCTACAGCAATTTTGAACCAGAAGATGGGCAATAAGGTATTTTTAATATGGAATCCAGAACAACCTCTGAGGTTAGGCGCTGCAGACTGAACAGCAGAAACTTTTCATGGAAACTCCAAGTAGCATCACAGTCACTTTACTGGAAACAGAAAGTTGGAAGCCAATTGCCAAATGAGCCTGGATGGAAAGACAAATGGATGAGCTGAGGTGAAGGTGCTTGAGGAGAGTGTGTTGGGGACAGCTAGACGATGTAGGGAGACAATTTGGCCACTCTGGATGGAAAGTCTGTCTCTGAGTATTTATTGAGGCAATAAAAGATAAGGTCACTGTGTTGTAGGCTTTAATATTAATGTGCCATTTAATGACCCTCACCATGGAAGAAACTAGGTTATCACTGATACTAAGGTATAGCTCCAGGCAGTTATTTTGTAATGAAGCAAGTGCTTGTGTGTGTAGCTAGACAACCAGTGGTGCTTCAGAGAGTTTCTCCTCAGTAATATATATATAATACATAGTCAAATTTCTTTGAAGTAAGCAAGGTGAAAGAATCCCCAGGCTATATTCATCTCATTGTAGCCTACTTCTGTCTACCTAACTGCTTTTACACAAATTTCTCTATTAAGTAATATAAAATAACAAAATTAATAATGTGAAGTCCCTTAATACGTATAAATGGTTGATTTTAAGAGAAACAAATCATAAAAACGTCTTTCAGCCACGTTTCCGCGTGTGAGGCTTTTGGAGGTTTGGGGGCGCAGTCCACCACGCTCTCACTGCTGGCCTTGCTTCCCGCCCCTTGGTTCGGACTGTCCAATAGGAACGGCGGGAGCAATCGGTTGGACCAATCACTAACAACGGATGATAGTGAATGGAAGTTAAGTTTTTGAGTTTGGGATAGACCGAGAGGGAGCGATTAACGGGGTGGCTGTGCAAGACAATTGGTAGCCTATATCAGTGAGAAAAGTAAATCCAGACTAATACATGTTGAGTGTTTCCTATCACACAGGACTGAAAACGCAGTAGCTACTGGAATAAGGCTAAACAAGAGCCCTCTCCCTCGCCCTTTCCAAGTCTGTGCCGAGGAGGGTGGCAGGTGTTCAGTTGAGGGAGACGCATCGGTTCAGTCGGCTCCCCGAGCTTCAACAGGGACCCCGGACGAAGAGGGAGAGAGAGAGGAAAGCAGCCCGAACGCCACAAACTGATGCTAAACCAGAGTATGAACGGACAACGATAAAAACGTTTCTGAAGTAGACGTAACAGACCCGGGCGGAGTGTTTTGGTGGACCGTTGAAGCCTGGATAAAGAAGCGAAAGGCTCCAGTGTCGCAGCAATGAGAGTTAATATTAACGTCTTTCTGTAACGGCTTTCACTTAAAACCAACTGGTACTTTTTGACTTGTGCCATCTCTTCGCCTGTTTGTGTGTTCGTATAAAAGGAAGAAAAAACTCTCGGTTGCTGCTGAGAAACTTGTAAATGCGTTCATGTTTTCTGCTAACCTGTTGTGTCATTTTTCCGTGTAATCCGAAACGCGGCGGTATTACGGGCAAGTTAACCTATCTGGTATCCTAGACAAGAGTCCCATTCCGGGAGAGCGGTGGATAATTTCGACCCGTGACGACTTGGGTTAACAGTTAATTAGGATATCTTAACTTCAGATAACACACCGCAGCCCGCGCTTCTCCATCACTACACTTCTCTGTGCAGTTTGTTTGCGGTCAAAAACAAGGGGGTATACACAGAATCAATTACTGAATTGATTTTACATGGATGGATAATTTACGTGATGTATTGCTTCTCCGTTAATACGACCACTGTGTGTCTGAACAGCTAAATGATCCGCTGGGCAAATCCCCCGGTGAAGACATCAAAACAAGCGCGGATTTGAGGTTGATAGCCGGGAATAAGCCGATAAGTCTAAAAACACACTCAAATGTATTAATTCCTTTGCTCGGATCAATCCAAATGAAAATGAGGTATCGCAGGACGCAGAAACACACGGACTCCGCCACAGCAGATAGAGATTACTGTGCTATCACACCGTGAAGACTAGTGAGGGAAAGTGTTTTTTGTTGGTAAGGCGACCCCCCTCCACCGTCCCTTCTCGTTCTCCCGCCGCCTGCAGAGTTTTGCAGACCGGAGCTGGGAAATCAGAGAGCGGGGAGCTTGTCGGTAGCGGCTGCGGTGAACTCCCGGAGCTCGGAGCTCCGCTTCGCCGGGAAAGCGCGGAGGTGCCGGGGCTGAAGCCCGTTTCCTCACCGCACGGACTTCTTCCCATTCGTGTGCGGGGCTTAGAGAGCGAAAGAGAGCTGCAGCAGCATAGCATAAGCGGACACGGACACTGTTGGTCCCCTCTCTCCCGCATGATGACACCAGGAGTTTGCTGCCCTGAGAGGTCCCCGGAGCGTGTGGAGGGACCAGCAGCAGGGAACCGGCAGAAGATGACGGGGACAGGGACGACCCGGAGTGGGAGCCGGTGTCATCCTCTTTTTCTCCTGCTCCTTCTTGGCAGCAGCTGCCACATGTTGCACGGCCAAGGTAAGAGCTTTTACTCCCAGGATCCCTGGTTTCAAATGTCGATGTACTAAGCATATTTATATGTAGACTCATTCATGCTAAAGGTGTTTAAACGGCTTTGAACAAAATGTATGGTCTGAAAACACTCACTGACAGACTCATTTGTCACTGGGACCACGGTAAACAGGGGAAAAGTGAGATGATGACTAACTGGAAACAAGGGATGTGATTTATTAGACCAAGTATAGCAGTTTGCCTGTTAGTTGGGATTTTTCACGTGTCCCTGCAGGAGGTGCATAAAGAGGGGGTGTTTTTAGTAGGCCAGCAGCAATGTTATTTTGTAAATCAGTTTGATTGTTTGTGTGCCAGATACAGATAAGGCACCCACTGTACACAGTATTGTTATTGTTATAGTGATGCTGCTGCATAGATTGTAGGATGATAATTGAAGGATTAAGGTATTGAGGATGTGTATGGGGAGGGGGTGTTACAGTTTCCAAGCATTGATAATCCCCCTCTTAGTCAATGACCTGCTTAACTACAGCTCTTAATTTGGCACAAACACATACATATATGCATATAGTGTATTAATTTAAGTTGCCTCCTATTAGTCCAGCATTGAACCTGTTGTGCTGGCAGGTGTCCAGATTAGTGTGTGACTTGTGGCTGTAGAGGATTACTTCTGGAGTAATTGTTGAAAACAGCAACAGGGAAGAAGACACATATGATGAGATATTGATTCCTGACCAGAGCGGTTTGTGGAAATTGTGTGTTGCCATGGAACATGCATTTATGTGCTTATTTTTTGTTTTGAGATAGAGGTTGTGAGAGAGAAACTGGAGATATGTGTGTGTGTGTATCTTTGTATGTGTGCAATGTACCTCATGGGATCATGTCAGCGTGGCAAAACAAAAGCACAGAAAAGGTCAGACTGGTGTCGGCTCACGGTTTTCTCTGGGTCACAGATGGCGTGGTGGGCAGAATGTAAGGCTGAGACTTGGGGTTATGTGGAGGAGGGGTCTTAGGAATGTCTGTGCATATACGTATATATATATATATATGTGTGTGTGTGTTAGAGGTGGGGGTGTGCTATTTGTGAATGCCGGGAGAAAGTGTGTGCTGTTTAAGTGCAGGAGAGTGCCTGCGTGAGTGTTAAAGTGGGAGCACAGGTAGGGGAGGAATGAGGAAAGAAATAAACTCAGTAGGCAGTGTGGCAAAGAGAAGAAGGAGGTGGTGTGAGAAGGAGCAGTCGAGGGAGAGGGGAGTGGCAGGAAAAGGAGGTGAGAATAAAAAATGGAGGGGGTAGGGTGTCGGAGAGGGAATGCGGCGGCCGCGCCGTGCATGTCACTCAGAAAACTGTGCCTGCAGTTCAATCGATGATGACGGTATGACAACACCACTGTGTGTGTGTGTGTCAAAAGTTGCTCTCCTCTCCCTTCTTTTCCCAGTCGTCACACTCTCCCTCTTCCTCCCTCCCTCCTAGGTGTTGAGGAGGATGTGGGAGAAGGAGGGACGGTGTGGATGCAGAGTCAGCTCCTTCCGTCCTCTCTCTCTAATGTCAAGGTCTCAGAAACAGTGCCCGAGTTACCACACACCCCATTCCCCACCTTCAGACCCACCAACCCCTACCAGCTGTCTTGGCTTGGGGTGGTGGGGGGGGGTGCCCTGCTTCAAAATGTCTATCCCTCATGATGGCTGGCAGGGGGTTGTGTTTATACATGTGTGTGTGTGCTGGGGGTAGGGGGGAATTAGAAATTAGTGAGACAGATACGGGATGGGGCTGGTGGAGGTGAAGGAGGGGTGGGGTGGGGTTATTGATTTGATAAGCTGTGCCAGGCGGCCAATCGAAGGCTGTAGATTTTCCAGGTTCCGACCCCGCTATCCCCAGCATTTATTAGGACGTTTTATTTTAGAAGGAAAAGGATGAAATTCATGAGCCAGGGTTGATCCTCCTGATCTCTCCCTGCCTCTCCCCCACTATCCCCCCTCCCTCTTTCTCTCTCTCTCCCTCTTTCTCTCAGTCAATCGATGCCCACACCCCTCCTCATAAATGTGAGGCTTTATATGAGCCAGCTCTCGTCTCTGGGAGCACATTTAAATAAGCTCATCGATCTTTCATTTTAGAGTTTAAGTGACGGCAGCATTTTACTGCCCCCCCCCCATCCACCACCTCTCATCTGCTCACCTCTCCACCCTCCCTTCTTTATTCATAACTTATCCCTCAGCACCCCCACTGCCTCCCTGTCACAGAATGGGTTCTGCTCCACAGCTGTTTGTTAGTGGTACAGAATATGATTTACATTTTGAAACACACTAAATGTGACCCATCCTTGACTCTAGTCAGAATATAAAGTCTAGATTGGCTCTGTCTGTATCCATGCTGAAAATGTGAATCAGTCTCACTATCCTTTAAAGTTATTGTTGTAAGATGAAAACCTTGCCAACTATTCAGGATTTTCTGAAAACAGCCTTGTTTCACTTTGGCAGCCATGAGATTTTCAACACGATTTCTAAACATTTTTAGAAACCCAAAGCACAGAGGACCATGTAATACTTCGAGTGACATTAAAACATGAAAATGTTCAAAGTCAGAAGGGTTCACGTTGCAACAGGGATATGGACCATTAGGTTTATAATACGTGAATGATTTTGTCCCAGTTGCTAATGTGGATAATGATAATGCTCTATAAGTAGCCAAAGTGTAATGAAAAAATACTGCTGGTCGTCATTATTGCTAACCTTGCCCAAGGTAATTGCATTAAAATGTGGCTCAGGCATCCCAGCTGTTAAACCATTGCACTACTTTCTAGTCTAAAATATAAATTGCAGGTCATATTTTTTAAGGCTCTTACAAAAGTTTAGTTTTTTACCATACATTTGGAGTATGTTTTTTTTTTTTTCTGTTTCAACTAGGCCAAGCAAAGACTTGCATCGCCATGCTGACCCACTTAGTGGATCTATCAGTGTGATTATGTTTGATATGACACATGTCATTGGCTCAACTAAGCCAGAGCTTGATGCTGATTGGACCACTGGGCATGTTTAAGTGAATTGAGGTCACTGGTAGGACATTCGGACGGTGGGCTGTGGACTGAGAGAGTTCTGAGCGTGACGTTAAAACCCAAATCAAATAGACTAGCATGTAGTTTTACACACACACACACACACACACACACACACACACACACACAAAGTCCTTCTCTCTCATCAGTGTCAAACAGTTAAAGCGGACGTGGAAATTTGCTTAACCATGTTGTAATGAGGAGAGGGTAAATTAGGAGCCTCGTCTAACTGATTATCATTGTCCACGCTGCACAACCTTACCGTGACTTTTCCACCTCTCTCACGCTCACAATCTTATGTTTGTTTTGACATTGTTCATTATCTTCCACTGATGGTCTACCGTTTTCTTGCGGCAACCTTTGCTCGCAGCTTATAAAATATATAAAATATTTTTTAGAACAGTTGTGAAGCAATTTGTATTACAGGGCTGTTTGTCACCAGAAGTATTGTAGCAAGCTCCATTACCTTAGCATGCAACCAGAGGATGACGATTTTGATGTATTTTAAACTGTAAATTTACTGCTTGTTACAAAACAGTTATGTTCTTTCTTTGCCCACGGACACAAATTTAATCCCACATTCAAGTAGTTAGAATTTTGGAGGCCTCAGGAGAGACTTTGGCTGTCTGATGGATTGCGTATGTGTGTGTGTATGCGCGTGCATTATGTATAAGAGAAGGAGAGCAAACGGTGGAGGAGAAGACACTGTGAATGTGTGTGTGTGTGGGAGTGTGTGATAGACGTCAGGTTAGTCAGGTCTGAGAGGAAGTGAGGTCCCTGGTCGACTCCCTTATTTCCTGTCTGTCAGGAGGTACAAATCACCACACTTCCACAGCCACCTGACACTTTGCGCTGTGTGTGGCTGTACATGTACCTGTGTGTTTGAGAGGGACAGAGTTTGTGTGTGTCTACCTGGCTGTGTGCAGACCTGATATGTGAAAGAGATTTTAGCCTGACAGGACTGCAGACTAGCTACAGTATGTATTGCTGGCAGGTGTATGTGTGTTTGCGTCTGTGTGTGTGTGTGTGTGTCAGGTTGATGCTAACCCTCTATCAGTCCTAAGTGTTTTCTTTTCACAGCAGAAGAAGTGGCAGCTATAGAGAAGCCGCCAGAATCTCCTAATGGAAAATAGTCATTTGTGTGTTTCTGACAAGTGTTGTGTGTTTACCAATTGGCAACCTCCGGGACTTAAAAACAAAGCCAACACGGAAGTGCCAAAAACTGCAGTTCATCGAAGCCATTAGCTTTAGCAACCAGCCATCATTCGGGCCCGCCTCAGCTCCAACTCTTTGCCCACTTTTGCTAAGATGGCGGAGCCGCCCACACTGAGCTTGACTGCCCTTCAGAAACCTATGGGTGTTGTCACAGACGTCCATGTTTTATACAGTGTATGGTGTGTACAAAGAAGAGACCAGCAGGTGCATCTATCCCATCTTTCTACATACACGCACAAACCTGCAGTAGTTTATATGACTTTTTAGGTGGGGTTGTTGTTGTTTTGAGCTCACTAAGAGGTCAGTTTGGTCATGTCCAGTCCAGTAGTGCTTCTGTGACTGTGGTCAGTTTCAAGCCACGAAGTATTAAATATTAATAAAAAGAAATAAATATAACAACTAAAAGTGTTGAGTTTGTGTGAAGTGTCTGCACATGTGTGTGCTTCTGTTCAGTCAGAATTGTTTCCTATGTTTGTGAAAAGATGCACTTTATAGGAGTTTTCCTCAAAAACATCCTTCAGAGCTTTGAAATATGAGCCAAGTGGGATACACTCCGGTCTCCCTCGCCCTCCCTCCCTCTCGTCTTGCTTGTTTTTGCACTTCATTTTTTTGTATTTGTTCTTTCAGTATTGCTCCTCTTCCTTTTGGTTTCTCGTTCTTTCTTCCCTCCTTGTCTCCCCGTAAGGGACTAAAGAATCCATTGCTGCAGGCCACACAGGTGGAATGGAGGCTGTTTAGGCCTCG